AAGATGCCTCTTTAAGGACTAAGGTGCACCTCACCCAAACCATGGTATTTTCAATCACCTCATATGCACACGAAAGCTGGACAATGAATAAGCAAGACCAAAGAAGAGCTGATGCCTTTGATTTATGGTGTTTGTGAAGAATACTGAATATACCATGGACTGCCAGAAGGGCAAACAAATCTGTCTTGGAAGAAGTATAGCCAGAATGCTCCTTAGAAGTGAGGATGGCAAGACTTTGTCTCACATACTTTGGACATGTTATCAGGAGGGGCCAGTCCCTGGAGAAGGACATCATGCTTGATACAGTAGAAAGTTAGCAAAAAAGAGGAGGACCCTCAACAAGATGGATTGACACAGTGGCTGCAACAATGGGCTCAGACATAGCAACAATCGGGAGGATGACACAGGAGCAGGCAGTGTTTCGTTCTGTTGTACACAGGGTCACTGTGAGTCGAAACTAACTCGATGGCACCTAACAACAACAACAAATGCCAGTGGATGTGAAGTGGTATTTCATTATGATTTCGATTTACATTTCCTTGATGGCTAATGAGGAAAGCATCTTTTCATGTGCTTGTTCGCTATCTGTATATCTTTTTTGGAGAAATGTCTATTCAGATCCGTTGACAATTTTTTAAATTGGATTATTTGTGTTTTTATTACTGAGTTGGAAAGGTTCTTTATATATTCTGTATACACGTCCCTTATAAGATGTATGATTTACAAATATTTTCTCCCATTCTGTGGGTTGTCTTTTCACTTTCTTGATGGTGTCCTTTGCATTACAAAATTTTTAAATTTTCATGAAGTTCAATCTAAGTTCAATCCATCTGGGCTTTTTTGTTTTTGTTATTGTTGCTTGTGTTTTTGGTGTCATATCTAAGAAATCATTGCCTAACCCAAAGTCACAAAGATTTATGCCTATGATGTCCTCTGAGAATTTTATAGACAATTTTAGCTCTTTGATATATTTTGAGTTAATTTATATATATGGTATGAGGTAGGGGTCCAGCTTCATTCTTTTGCTTGTGGATATCCAGTCGTCCCAGCATCATTTGTTGAAAAGGTTATTCTTTCCCCATTGAGTGGTCTTGGCAACCCTATAGAAAATCAATTGGCATAGACATATGGGCTTATTTCTAGATTCACAGTTTTATTCCACTGATCTATATATGTCTAGCCTATGCTAGCACTACACTGTCTTGATTACTGTAGCCTTGTAATAACTTTTAAACTGGGAAGTGTGAGTCCTCCAATCTTGTTCTTTTTTTTTTTTTAAATTGTGCTTTAAGTGAAAGTTTCAGTTCAAGTTAGTTTCTCATACAAAAATTTATATATGCATGGTAATGTGACCCTAGCTGCTCTCCCTATAATGTGACAGCGCACTCCTCCTTTCTAGCCAGGGTTTCCCGTGTCCATTCAACCAGGTCCTGTCATTTTTTGCCTTCTCATCTTGCCTCTGGACAGGAGCTTCCCATTTATTCTCATGTATCTACTTGAGCTAAGAAGCACTCTCTTCATGAGTATCATTTTATGTCTTATAGTCCAGTCTAATCTATGTGTGAAGAGTTGACTTTGGGAATGGTTTCAATTCTGGGCTAACAGAGAGACCAGGGCCATGGCTTCTGGTGTCCCTCCAGTCTCAGTCAGACCATTAATTCTGGTCTTAACCTTGTTCCTTTTTAAGATTGTTTTGGCTATTCTGGGTCCTTTGTATTTCCATATGAATTTCAGGATCAGCTTTGAAACTTCCATAAAGAAGCCAACTGAGATTTTGACAGGGATTGCATTGAATTGGCAGGTTAATTTGGGGAGTGTTGCCATCTTAACAATGTTAAGTCTCCAGCCCATGACTCTGGAATGCCTTTCCCCTTATTTACGTATTCTTTAATTTCTTTCAACAATGTTTATAATTTCATATCATCTATTTTTAAAACCATTATTTCCCCTGTGATTAACTGTCTTGGAACTTTAAATACATTTCACATGGGTCTTTGTCTGTGCTGTAATTCTAACCCATGACCCACATCTCTTCCCAGTATTTTACTTATGACAGCTTTGCAGTATGGTTTGACACGCTTCCAATAATTTCTGTTTTTCTAAAAATTTCTTGTTCTCATTTATTTGTTCTCTAATATGAATGTCAGAAGTATCTTGTCAAGTTCAACCAAAAAGTTCTACTAAGATTTTAACTGGCATTCTATTATGGGTATCAATTAATTTAAGAGAATGGACATCTTTAGAGCACTGAGATTTTCCATTCATGAATACAGCAGGTCTTTTATTTACATAACCTTTCCTCTACATATTTCAACAATGTTTTCTATTTTTTCTTATGGGTTCCTACACATTTATTTAAAAATTTTACCTAAATGTTTTTATAATATTATTCAAGGTGGCATTTTGGATATGAGTTCTGAGATTCTTGTGCAGATATCTCTAATGTTCTCCTTTTCTTGAAGGTTTTTCTTATCCCTATTGCCACAAACCAGTCTATCTTGGGGCTTCTGTTATTGGGCCACTACATTTGAAGGACCCAAACCTGCTTCACCTTTGTATCCAAAGACAGAGACTCTATTTCCAAATGCAAACCTTGAGTTCAGAGACATATATTCATTTTAGAGACCAACCAGATTTTCTACAAAATTAAGATAAATATTTATTAGAAACAAGGTGATGATTATAGAACTGACAACACACTGGATTCGTCTGCTTTACCTGGTTCCCTGGTTCTATGGCCCATTGAACACATGGATGACTAGAACATGGTTTTCTCCCCAGAGGCCGGTCTTTGGTGGCACACGCTCTCGGAGATAGCACCTGCACAGTCCCATTGGCTTTTGTCCGTGTGCATGTTACTTGCCGACTGCAGAATCCCTCACCGCAAGACACAGAGCACTCTGACCACGCACTCGTCAACCACCTAGGAACAAAAACTACAAGACCTTAGTAAGGACTGGTATGTCAGACCTATAGGAAGTGTCTTCGAAAGGCAAAGTTGATCCTAACATGGTGGCTGTTTCAAGGCTGTTACACATCTCTATGGGAACCGGCAGCAGAATAGACAACTCCTAGCCTTATTCTCCGGTTTTCTTTTACTCAGAGGAACAACAGAGTCACCATGACAAGATGACCAATATAGGGGTGGGGTGGAGCTGTCTTCAAGTTTATGAAGAGCTGGCCCTTGTGTGGCTCCAGAGGGTAGCTAGGACAAAGTTAGATGGTAACTTCAAAAAGGTGATTTCAATTTCTTGAAACTAAAGAGACAAAAAAAATTTTTTTAGGCATCTATGTGTGGGAGACCCAAGTTCGATTCCCAGCCAGTTCACCTCAAGCTACATCTGTCAGTGGAGGCTTGCGTTGTTGCTAAGATGCTGAACAGGTTTCAGTGGAGCTTCCAGACTAAGACAGACTAGGAAGAAAGGCCTGGCGATCTACTTCCAAAATACCAGTCTGTGAAATCCCTATGGTTCACATTGGTCCAATCCTGTTGTGTGTGGGGTCGCCGTGAGTAAAGGGCCAACTCGACAGCAGCTAACAACAACGTGTTGTTCCCTCTGCAAGATACTTACGTGTTAGCTCATGTAATTCTCATGTTATTTCCACTCTTCTAAGGAAGAAACGGATGTCCAGTAGGCAAATAACTTGACTGTGGTCACATAACTAACGTGCAACAGAGCTGGGATTTGATTCTAGGTGTATCTAACTCTAAAGTTTGTGATTTAATAATTATAGGAGTGTGAACTTGGAACTGGGCACCTTGTGAGATACTGAGCTCTCTGCTGTTGAAGATGTTTAAACTGTTGCTGGGGAACTGCAGGGCATGGGTCCCTAATCTGAGGTCTATTCTATGGTTATTCAAGATGTCCATGCAGTGGGATAGGAAAAGAATTATATCTTTATTGTCATTAAGCTCTAGCTGAACTTTAGTTATTTTCACATCACATTACAGTGGTGACAGATATCTCAAAATATAATTTGTATTCACCACTATTTCAACATTCAGGTTCCACTAGATCCTGTTATTTAGTGTGTTTATAGAGAAGTGTATCTATTTCTATATTTCACATTTTTAATATTTCAATAATTGTATTTCAATATAACCAGTTTTCCTTGTAATCAAATGCATTGTGTTTTATATATTTAAAAATCTTGTTTAGAGGAGGGATCTATAGGTTTCTTTAGACTACCAGAGTGGTTCATGGCAAAAAATGTTAAGGACCCCTGATGCAGAGGGAGATTGGGGTTAGATGACCTCTGTGGTCTTTTCTAGGTATGAAAGTGTATGGCTCTATTCATTCTAGGAGCATACAAATGCTTGAGAATGTTTAATAAATAGGCTGATTGATAAATTTCCCAAATGGATTCTCTCTATTTGGTGACAGTCAGGAATTGACATAAAGCAGCTTTCTTGGATCAATTTCACCCTAGTTATTATAGGATTAGGCAGCCCTGGTGGCACAATGGTTGTTTGGCTGCTAACCAAAAGGTTGGCAGTTTGAACCCACCCAGCAACTCCACGGAAGGAAGAGCTGGTGATCTGCTCCAGTAAAGATTACAGTCTAGAAAACCCTATGGGGCAGTTCTATTCTGTTACATGGGGTCATTATGAGTTAAGATCAACTCGATAGCACCTAACAACAACAACAACACTGTAGGATCAGTTTGCTATTTCCTGAGGGTGATTCTTAGCACAAGAGTTTCCTTGCAAGAATTACAATGGGTACTGGTGGACATGTCAGTCACAGTGCCTACAATATCCATAGCCTTCCAGGAACTATTTTGTTAGGCATTGTGACCCTACCTCCCACTCTCCTCCATGGCACAGATAATTGAATCTAGTGTGGGCATTTTCACAAGAGCAGTGAGCTGTATGCTTCCATTTTCACATCAGTAAAAACAGTCCACTTTTTTTATCCCAGTGACAAAAAAAGTGCCTAGCACCTAGTAGGTGATCAGTAAATATCTGCAAGTATCTATCTCACAGGTGTGTGCTCAACGAATGCTACTATTATTAATTGATTTTTTTTTTTTGCTGTGGATTGTGCTGCAATTTGGCCAATTACCTATTAGCATCTATGTTATTCAACTGTTCATTCTAAAAATATTTTGAGAGGGTGTATAATGGCATTAAAAATGTGCTAAGTGCTGAGAATAGAGTGTTGAGCAAAACAGCCAAAAGTGTACTCTTATAGAACTCATAGTTTTGTGGGGGATCAAGGCAGGCAGATTGTGATAAGAGCTATGAAGAAAAACAATAAGAAAATATTAAAAATATAGAGCACCAGAAAAACCAGCTGTTGTTGTGTTGACACTGACTTATGGTGACCCCATGTGTATAAGAGTAGAACTGTGCTCCATAGGGTTTTCAATGGCTGATTTTTCAGAAGTAGATGCCAGGCCTTTCTTATGAGTCACCTCTAGATGGACTCAAACCTCCAATCTTTTTGTTACCAGCCGAGTGCGTCCCTGGGTCGTGTAAATGATTAACGCACTTGGTGTTAATCAAATGTGTCTTAAAAGATGGTTCTATTTATAGAGTGGAGAAAATGTTACAGGAGGAAGACATTAGGAGGCTACTAGAATAGTCCATGTGAGAAATAAGGGTAGCTCGGACTCTGGTGGTGGCAGTGGAGACTGAAAAAAGTGGATGGAAGTGAGAGAACGAGAAGAGTCTAGGATGCATTCATTGAGATCTGGAACACTGGAAACAGATCAGGTTTGGTGGAGATCATGAGTTTTGATTTTAGACGTTTTTTATTACTGATTTGTAGGATCTTACTACGTAAAAAGGTCATTAATGCTTTTTCCTAGGGTAGAGCCTAGGTAACTATGTTTTTAATAAGTGCCTCTGGTGATTCTGACCCACTGCATTGCCTCCTAGGTAAACCCATGAGTTCAGCCTCCTGACACTCTCAAGATGAGGCAGTGGTGTTTCAATAGTAAAATTCTCGCCTCCCATGCGGGACACGTGGGCTCAATTCCTGGTCAATGCACCTCAGCACAGACACCACCTGTCTGTCAATAGTGGTTTGTGTGTTGCTATGATGCTGAACAGGTTTTAGTGGAGCATCCAGACTAAGATGGGCTAGAAAGAAAGGCCTGGACACCTACTTTTGAAAATCAGCCAATGAAAGCACAACGGTGTGATCTGCAATTGATCATGGGGGTGGTGCAGGACCAGGCAGCATTTAGTTCTGTTGCCATGAGTGGGGCCAACCTGACAGCAGCTAACAACAATGCTCTCAAGGAGCTGTTGGCACTGTGAGTACAGGAAGCAGATTCGAGCAGCGATTAAGAGCAGAGACTCTCAAATCACACTTGGATTCTGGCCCTTGTAACTGTGTGACCTAGGAGAGTTTTCCCATCAGGAAAATAAGAAGATAACAATGTCTACTTCATGGGTTATTGTAAAGTGATCCTTTAAAGAGCTTAGCAGAATGACTGTGTTAAATAAATCTTAACTATTTTATTATTAGGTCCAAATTACCACACCTTTTAAAACAAGCAAAAACTTGATGAGAAAAGAAGAGTGACTACACATACCTGGCAGGGCAGTCCCGGATGTTACAGGGCTGAAATCCAGCCAGTGGCTTCTGGAGGGGATCACAGAGGGCCTCACTCACTTCCTGTCCATTGGCCATCACACACTGGGGTCTCTGAACGCTTGTTCCCAAGTGACCACAGGTGGCAGAACAATGTGTCCAGTTACCAGGCTCCCAAAAAGGCACTGCAGAAAGAAATGAAATGTCATGACAGCCCCAGATGAAAATGATGATGGGCTGGAGAAGACATGGCCAAAGACCACCAGGAGCTGTTTTCTGGTGAGCTGCCTGTCTGCTTCCTTAAGTAGCACACAGAGAGAAAGCTAGCTCATGGTGCAAAGAGGTTCTTTAAATCTCATTTTCTCTCAACTCACTTATTGTAATAACTGGTGGGAATGGCGGCCAAAATGGGGCCCTGGACCATAGCCTGGGAAGAGGGGCTATTGTAGGCCAGCTGGATCTGCCAGAAAAATCCCTGAGAGGAGTTACTCTAAGGGGTGGGCTGCCTCCTCAGCAAGCTCCAAGCAGAGCCAAGAGGACAAGAGAGGAGCGTCTCTCAAGGGGTGTTCCAAGGGTTCTGAGTCTCCAAAGTGGACCAGGTGGAGAAATGAAAGATGACTTAGTCAGAGGAACAGGGTCAGGGATTAAGCTATGAGGTTAAAGGTGCATTTCCATTCAGTGCTTTCTCTTCCATTAATTCTTAATCTAAACTTCAGATTAGTCTTGAAACTGCATAAGTAATTTGTCATGGAGACATCTGGAAAGATAAAAATGGGAGTTTCCTTTAGAAAAGCAGAGGCTGACCACCTCCAGTAATTATAGCTTTTTGACTCTCGTCCCCATTCCAAATGCCTTTTCCCTTCCCTCTGACACTTGGTAAGAGATGAGGTAGGACATGATGATGACAGATTTGTGTGTGATCACAGAAGGTGCCAGATTTTCTTATAATAATCACAAGTAAATGATAGCTACCAGCTGTGTCCACAGGCTCCCTCACAGACCAGAGTGATTCCTTTAACTTATAGTTGTCCAGCTTTTCCTTCTGATTTTTGAATTTTTGTCTTAAGTTACATATGCATCATTTGCAAAGCAGCACAGAAAAAATATTTTTAGTTGAGCCCTCAGGACTCCATTTTATTTAAAAATATGTATATTAAAAAAATAGCTAAGTTTATTAGGAACCTCCCAGGTGATAGGTACTAGGTCAGATACTTTATAATTGATCTTTCATTTAATCCTTACTGCCATTTGTGAGTTAGGTATTTTTATCTGCAGAGGTGGAAACCGAAGGAAGCTGAGTGAGCTACACAAGGTCCTTCCTGTATTAGTTGGGTTGGAACCTATGTTTGTCTGACTCCAAGTCTAATTCTTTCTACTATGCCACATTTCACAAAGACATTGACAGTTCAGGGAAGAACACATGTATAATTATTTTTATTTTTTTAATTGGGGCATAATTGATATACAGTAAGATACTCAGATCTTAGGTGTAGAATTTGATGAGTTTTCAACATTATATGTATTTGTGCAACCATGGACTATGGACTAGGAAGAAGGATCTGGTGATCTACTTCTTAAAAAATTGGCCAGTGAAAATGTTATGAATAGCAGTGGAACACTGTCTCATATAGTTCCAGAAGATGAGCCCCTCAGGTTGGAAGGCACTCAAAATACCACCGAGGAAGAGCTGCCTCCTCAAAGTAGAGTTGAACTCAATGACGTGGATAGAGTAAAGGTTTTGAGACCTTCGTTTGCTGATGTGGCACAACTCAAAATGAGAAGAAACAGCTGCAAACATCCATTAATAATTGGAACATGGAATTATGAAGTATGAATCTAAGAACACTGGGGAAGTCATCAAAAAAAAAAAAAAAAAAGGGGGAATGCCTAAAGATGGATATCCTAGGCATTAGTGAGCTGAATTAGACTGGTATTGGCCATTTTGAATTGGACAGTCATGGTCTTCTACACCAGGAATGACAAATTTAAAAGAAATGGCATTGCATTCATTGTCAAAAAGAACATTTCAAGATCTATCCTGAAGTACAACACTGTCAGTGATAGGATAATATCTATATGCCTACCAGGAAGACCTTGGAGCCCTGGTGGCACAGTGGATAAGAACTCGGCTGCTAATCAAAAGATCAGCAGTTCAAATCCACCAGCTATTCCTTGGAAACCCTATGGGGCAGTTCTATGCTGCCCTACAGGGACTATGAGTTGAAATCAACTCTATGACAACTTTTTTTTTTTTTCAACCAGGAAGACCAGAGCTGAACAGAAGATTTTCAAAGGCTGGCTTGAGAAGACAAAGTAAAGTATTATAATGAAACGTGCAAAGACCTGGAGATAGAAAACCAAAAAGGAAGAACATGCTTGGCATTTCTCAAGCTGAAAGAACTAAAGAAAAAATTCAAGCCTTGAATTGCAATACTGACGATTCTACAGGGAAGATATTAAATGACCCAGGAAGCATCAAAAGAAGATGGAAGGAATACACAGAGTCACTGTACCAAAATGAAGTGGTCAACATTCAGCCATTTCAGGAGGCAGCACCTGCTAAAGAATTGATAGTACTGAAGGAAGAGGTCCAAGCTGCACTGAAGGCATTGGTGAAAAACAAGCCTCCAAGAATTGACGGAATACCAACTGAGATGTTTCAACAAACAGATGCAGCAATGAAGGTGCTCACTTTCTATGCCAAGAAACTGGTCAATTGACTGGAAAAGATCCGTATTGGTACCCATTTCAAAGAAACGTGATCCAAAAGAATGTGGAGATTATCAAACAATATCGTTAATATCACACGTAAGTAAAATTTTGCTGAGGATCATTCAAAAGCGGTTGCAGCAGTACATGGACAGGGAACTGCCAGAAATTCAAGCTGGATTCAGAAGAGGACGTGGAACAAGGAATATCATTGCTGATCTCAGACGGATCATGCCTGAAAGCAGAGAATACCAGAAAGATGTTTACCTATGTTTTATTGACTACGCAAAGGCATTCAAATGTGGGGATCATAACAAATTACGGATAACATTGCAAAGAATGATAATTCTCATACACTTAATTGTACTCATGAGAAACCTGTACACAGACCAAGAGGTAGTCGTTCGAACAGAACAAGGGGGGATACTGCCTGGTTTAAAGTCAAGAAAGATGTGTGTCAGTGTTGTATCCTTTCACCATACTTACTCAATCTCTACGCTGAGCAAATAGTTCAAGAAGTTGGACTATATGAAAAAGAATGTGGCATCAGGATTGGAAGAAGACTCATTAACAACCTGTGTTATGCAGATGACACAACCTTACTTGCTGAAATGAAGAGGACTTGAAGCACTTACTGATGAAGATCAAAGACCACAGCCTTCAGTATGGATTACAACTCAACGTAAAGAAAACAAAAATCATCACAACTGGACTAATAAACAACATCATGATAAACGGAGAAAATATTGAAGTTGTCAAGGATTTCATTTTACTTGGATCCACAATCAATGCCCATAGAAGCAGCAGTCAAGAAATCAAATGACGTATTGCATTGGGCAAATCTGCTGCAAAAGACCTCTTAAAAGTGTTAAAAAACAAAGATGTCACTTTGAGGAGTAGGGTGCAACTGACCCAAGCCATGGTGTTTCCAATTGCCTCATATGCATGTGAAAGCTGGACAATGAATAAGGAAGACTGAAGAAGAATTGATCATTTGAATTATGGTGTTGTCGAAGAATACTGACTATACCACAGACTGCCAGAAGGACGAACAAATCTGTTTTGGAAGAAGTACAGCCAGAATGCTCCTTAGACCAAGGAAGAATTGATGCCTTTGAATTATGGTGTTGGCTAAGAATACTGAATATACTATGGACTGTTAGAAGAATGGAGCCCTGGTGGCACAGTGGTTAATAATTAAGGCTGCTAACCAAAAGGTCAGCAGTTCGAATCTACCAGCTGCTCCTTGGAAACCCTATGGGGAGCAGTTCTACTCTGTTCTATAGAGTCGCTATGAGTTGGAATCAACTCAACAGCAATGGGTTTGCATTTTTTGTTTTTGATCAGAAGAATGAACAAATCTGTCTCAGAAGACATACAGCCAGAATGCTCCTTAGAAGCAAGGATAACAAGACTTTGTCTCATGTACTTTGAACATGTTATCAGGAGGGGCCAGTCCCTGGAGAAGGACATCATGCTTGGTACAGGACAGAGTCAGTGAAAAAGAGGAAGACCCTCAGTGAAATGGATTGACAGAGTGGCTGCAACAACACGCTCAAACATAGCAATGATTGTGAGGATGGCGCAAGATCAGGCAGTGTTTCGTTCTGTTGTACATAAGGTTGCTATGTGTCACAATCGACTTCATAGCACCTAACAGCAAGAACAATGTAACCATGAACCCAAGCAAAATATAGATCATTTTTATCACCCCCAAAAGCTTCTTCCTGCTTCTTCCTCGGCAATTCCCTCCCCTCCAAGGCAACTACTTCCCCATTTCCATCAGTATGTATTAGTTTTGCCTGTTCTTGACCTTCGCACAATATGTACTCTTTTATGTTTGACTTCTTTCACTTAACATAATTTCTTTGAGATTCATCCATATTGTTGTCTTATCAGTGGTTCATTCTCTTTTATTTCCGAATAATATTCCATTATGTGAATATACCACATTCTGTCAAAGACAATTATGAGTAAGGCCACTGTGAAGATTCTTTTCCAAATCTTTTTGTGGACATGTTCTCATTTTTTTAGGTGAAAGGGTAGGTGTAGGTTTAACTTCATTAGAAAATGCCAAATAGTTTTCCATAGTGGTTGTGCCATTTTACACACTCACCAGCAATGGATGAGAGTTTCAATTGCTTTACATTCTCCCCTAAATTTGGTATTCTTGGTCTTTTGTTTTCAGCTATTCTAAAAAAAAAAAAAAAGTTGCCGTCAGGGTGATTCCAACTCATGATGACCCCATGTGTGTCAGAGTAGATCTTTGCTCCATAACGGTTTTCAGTGGCTGATTTTTTGGAAGTAGATTCGCCAGGCCTTTCTTCCAAGGTGCCTCTGGGTGGACGTAACCACAAACCTTCCAGTTAGCAGGGGAGTGCATTAACTGTTTGCTCCACACAGCGAATCCTCAGCTCTTCTAGCGGATATGAAATAGGTTCTCTTTGTGGTTTTAATTTCCATTTCCCTGATGCCT